TCTCGTTTTTCCTGCCTTTCGATCGGCACAGCTCCTGTGGCGGGTTGTAAAGCATTGGCTGCTTTCATCAGATCGAGAATATGATCAGATGAAGGGGCCACGAGGGCTATTCCAGAAGGAACCGACCTGATTTCTTTGATCAATTCTGGTTTTTCGATCAGGCTTCTCAGCTTTGTACGGACCAGAAGAGTCTTGATATTGCAAAGGATGGTCAGGCTCTAGGCGTATCATAACTTTAGGATCAGGCCTTTGTTTTTTAGTCAAGGGGGTTGGCCCTGGGTATGGCCTTAGGAGGTTGTATCTGTACAGTTAGGTTTTTCTTCGTAGCATTTTCGTACAAAAAAACTTTGGGTGGTTCTTTTATTGGGTTTGGCTGTGCGCTAACTTTTAAGTTATGAGCAGTTTGGGGAGGTTCAAAGATAGGTAGATCTGCAATAACTCGAGCTGCACTTCGCGTCACAATAGCCCTAAGGCCCGCTGCAATTGTAGGCAGAAGGGCCCGTAGGTGTTGGGATCCAGCATTTTGCCAGGCCAACAATAAGGCAGCTATGTCATTTGTCATGGCTGCGGAGGGGCGGTCGATAATATTCGAAGTTGTACGCGGGCCGGGTCGGGGAAGACTTGGACAGAGTTCCTATTCGTTTGCGTTGTCTTTCGTCGACGCGTGAATTGGACTAGAGAGACCCTGAATAGAATTTCTTTTCAGAATCTTTTGCGGGGAGGGCCTTTGTACGGCTGTTGTCAGTGTGAGTACTGGAGTGAGAGTATGTGATAACTTTTCGGGGATGGGGTAGGGAAGAAGTTCGTTATTAAGCCCTAGGTCCATAAACTCATCTTCTGAGTCCATGTCGATGGGTTCGGGTGGAGGTAATTGTTTCTCAGCGTCGGCTGCTAAGATGACTTCCTCCTGGATAGTTATAAGAGGTCGACGAGGCCTCGCACGTTTCGCAGTGCGCGGGGCAGTTCGAGCGGGGGGTACGAGTATCGCAGGGTTTTTACGCCTCCTGTGGGGCATCTTATCGTCCTGTAACAATCAAAGGTCTGGAAATTGATTTTTTTTTTTTTTGCATCAGATTTTAATTGCGTATGCAGCTGTCTAGCTATGACACAATATCAGAGAAGTGTATGATAGATGACTCATTATAAAAGATGAGCACTCATGCCTCGGATTTCATTTGCAAGTACCACTGCGAAGTTATGCCGGCTTTTTCTTCACCCCAAGTCAACCCTCATCCGTCAATACCCACTCAGGGGAACGTCTCAAAAACCCTGAGTTACCCAGACATGCCTCAATCATCTTTCAACTATTCTCCGCGCGAAATATGATCTGAGGCGTCTCCTTCAAAAGTGGATTAGGTGCCCTGGCTACTCAGACTATACCGGAGAACACCACCAGGAGGCGGACCACAACACCTTCCATCGTTTGCTTGTTTTTATAGTGTCAGCTGCACTCTCGCAAGCAAAGTCTTGGCGCGCACAAAGCTCAATTCGTAAAATTCTTTGCCAAAATTCGTAATCTCACGCCCTTCGAGGATATATCCTTCCTTCACATCATCTTGTCAACTTGTCCTGATTCCTCTCATGTCCATTCCGAAGAACTGTCTCCCAGATTTATACGCCATGCTTTGCTTCCTCCGTCGGGTATAAATATCGGCGTGGGCGTGTATTAGGTGGTCAACTGAGGCCAGAGAAGGTCGGAGAGAGGTGTGGACATTGGGATGAGGATGTACTAGGTCGTACTTGTAGATTTGATGAGACTTGGGTAGGCGTCAAACCCGTTGGGCGCGAAAAAACAACGTAGAGGAGTAATTTGAATTTTTGCCTAGTGGGCCAACTTGTTCTGTATTGCGAAATTTGACTGAACTTGGCTCTGGGAGAACATTTCACTCCCAGGTTCGTAGAGGACACCGCGTACAGGTATTCAGTCTCGCCCTCCTAAAAGGCAAACACATTCATATCTCCATTTAACGAATTCTGAATCATGTAGCACTCACCATTATCTTCTGAGTCCTCAACATCTTTCTAACCACATATCATCTCGTCTCAACAACCGATAAAAGCGTCACCCCAATTACAAACAGGAGCTTGCTTCATTGATTAAGAGCCATCACTCACTACAAATCTACGACGCTACGTATACCCGCAAGGAGGAAATTAAGTCATAATATACAAAGTTGGAGTCTTGGTTTGTGGGGGACTGCTGCTCTAATGGGGCTTCACATCTTGAGGAAGAACAGGCGGCTCAGATGCGTAGCGAGAGAGGAACAGGTCTCTGAAGATTGTGCAGGGACAGACATTTTCGATTTTTCAACTTTGGATTTTTTGTGGGCGCCAAGACTAAGATTTCGGCTAATTAGCCAGGAGGACTTCTTTTGTCGTTGAGTCAACGGCACATAGGAAGTTAGGCTAACCTACCATACAGCAATCATGCTCTGTCAAGACTTTTCTGACATTTCAGTACGACCTTCGGGATGGAGTTAGAAGGAGGCTAGAAAGGTAGAGTGTGAATTCTCCGAGATACACACAAGTCTGCAGCGCCCAGCTGGCCGGCCTCTTCGAATGCTTCAGAAGGGGCAATATGTCTTCGCATTTAGTCCTAATGTCGGTATTAGAAGAGCCCCACACCCAGTGGTTTTGGCGATTTTTCCCGGCTGCCATACACCCGCAAATGGCCATCGTTTCCTTGGCTGGAGTGGGGAGATAGTGAAATGCAAAGGGCTCCTCTAAGTGTATGATCGAATGAGGACTTGTGAGGGTTGGTACTGTTTGAGGGGAGCTGTGTGGGAGGCATAGGAGGGGATATACTACTGGCATAGGTATCCTTGGCCTGTAGGCAGAGAGGACCTGCATGCCCTCCATAGTCATAGACTCAGACAGGACATTAAAATGAACGAAGAAAAAGAGATGTCGGATGTTTGAGTACGACCCCCATATAGACCTAGGCTCATTCTTGAATCGTATGTTGGTGGTGATGAGTTTTTGTTCGACTCTGTTCCGGCTGTGAAATCTATGCCGACTGATTTTTCAACCAAAATATCGGTTGCAACTCCTTCAAGCCGAAAATCCATCAAAAAAATTCATCCCACCCTTTTTCGTGACTGAATCTCGGCTCTGGGAGAATATTTCACTCCCAGGTTCGTAGAGGGCACCACTGACAGGTGTTCAGCCTTCGTCCTCCCATTGAGAGCGTCTGTGCACCAGCCCGTATTTTCCACCCTTTTCTAGTACAGCAGCCCATCCTTCGTTCCTCCTGTCCACTGACAACTCAACCGAGCCAGTACAACACTATCACATTGAACTCTGCGCGTATGTTATTGTCTGAATATTCGGGTGGTATTTATAACATACGCTTCCTACAGCAGTAATAAGAAGCGGTGGTCAACATGTATCTAGATTATTCCCTCCGTAAAGGAAACACGTATATACAGCAGTTATCCCTCTCTCCTAACGCTATTCCTAAAGAGGTAACTCATTACTCATCAATATAATTAGTCGTCATGTTTACGATATTACATGAGAGATCATTATGTCATTAAGTCATTAAACAGTTATATTCTACACCCGATGGGCAAATGGTAGAGGATCGTGAGAAGAGGCCAAGATCAGACATTACATTTAATGATTCATGATCCTTGCGATATAAAAAGAGTCATATAGTGGGTCTTGGATCATTCTTTGATAGGGTCATTGCAGATAACAGAGTCAATCGAAATACTGTTGTGGGAAGGAGGCCGAGCGAGCAACCTTGGGATCAGTAGAAGGAATATGATTTACGTTACACAGGGAAACCACAAAATAATTGCGATTCCTGGATGACAAAAAGGACAATTTTAGATGTGAAATGGGAAGGCTGGAGTTTTTTACGATTAGGTCTTCTCCCATGTAAGTAGATTGCGGGATTTTTAGCTACCCATCATGGCCGCTAACATGCCAAATCAGTTGAAACAAGTTGAATTACTACACAAAATTACAGACATGATTGCAATCTACAAATGGACAGAGGTGGGATCTGGGATTCCCTGCCATATGAACTCAATCTAAACATTTTGCCAAGTTGGACGAGCATCCTACACAAGGGTGGAGGCCCCAATAATTTGCAAATAAAATTGGCTTAGCAGATGAAGCAATCTGGGAATGGTCAGTCAGATATTTAACCCCGCAAGTATCCCGTTCATAGATCCGTATACTTATAACCTTATCATTGCAAAGTAGCCTCCATATCATCAAAATCCGACAATAATCATTCTTCATCCGCCTTTATCATCAAAAAAGCAAAAGTCACCCTTCAACAGATTCAAATAGACTCGCATTGAAAAAAGAAGGACATCCCAAAGGAAAATTCAACATGAAATCATTCAATTATGTTTCAATTATTGCAATCTTTAGTTTATTTCAGGCCTCTGCTGCTTTGGTATATATCTGTGACAAAGAACAAATTACAGACTTTCATGTATCAAAAACCGTCGAAACTGCAACCAAGGAATTCGAAGGTCCTGTTAGAAAATACCTCTTTCTGGAATTGGATGAAACCTATTTATATTATCCACTCAGTTTTTCTGGAAGAAGGTTTAGTTCAGGTGCGTAGTTTTCCTACACCGGACTCCATTGTTGCTAAAACTTAAGAAGAGATGCCACGTCAGAGTTTATATGTTAGGGTTAAAAGGTCGACCAGAAGTGTAGAAGTAATCAAAGTCAGCGATTCAACTCAACCTCCAAATAGCCAAGTGAACCAGAATCCGATGGTATGCCGTACCATCCAGGGGCATTAGTTAGAAGTAGTGGGATGAATGGATGCTTCACCAATGACAGTTGAATGTATTTGAAAATGCACATTATAGACCATAAGAAATGAATTGATTATTGACCAGGTCCATCAGTCAACCTTTTACTATCCCTAACGTGGACTTTCCGTTAAGCCCAGTTTCGCTGATATTTATTCAAACCTTTTCAATTCCACATAACAATCAAATTGAGGATCCCGGACTCCGAGTCCGAGTGAAATGTCAAGCTTCACGGCAAGCAAGACGCCGAGTTTCAAGACTTTGTCGAGATTACATCCCTCACATTCCTTGGTCACAGTCCAAGCGGCTAAGCGCTTCACTCATTCCCTACTATATTCTGAAAGTTCACTTTGCCATGCAATATTGATCAATACAGTATCTGGAATGTGGAGATTTCTTGCATTTAGGGAGGAGCTACAACACTAATAGAAATACAAATTTACACCTAGTCTCGAACTCTACACACATGTAGATTGCTGTAGTCAGAGCCACGAGACACCCGTGAATTTTACATCCAACATTTATCATTTTATTCTCACCAATTTTGGTAAGACCTGAGGTGTTTGCGGGAGTTCACTTGTTTTTGATGATTCTTAAATGTTTGTTATGATATGGAAGCACACTAGTCTCACTGTGGACAGTCAAGGGTACGCATGATAATGTTGGGCTCAGCATTGAAAGGAAAGAACACTGAGAGACTGGCTCGACCACCGTAGCCCAGAATACATTATTCTTCCCTAGTACATAGTTAGTAGGAAACATAGTTCACACACACACCTGTATTCACATACCCACGTACTCTTATATTGTCTATCTCCATTTATTACGTGAGTTACTCATCGCGCCTCTTAGAACCCACACTCGCGCTATAGCTAGCACATCACCTCAAGTATCACAATTATACCCCATAACGTATAACCACTATAATGTTAGAATTGTGAATAATTGGTGCTATCAAGTAGGCCACGCTGTTGATACACATGTGACTACAAATTCTGTACTTAGTTTTGCTCCGGTAGTTACTTGAATCAATGCGCTCTACAACCTCAATGACTGAGGGTTTATTATTTCTTAATATTTGGATTAAAAAAAAAGACACGCCTAGCCTGTTTCCACCACGTGAACCGCTATTCGAATAGTAGCTAGTTAAATTACATACAGCCATATTCAAAATAGAAATCATTAAACAACTCCAGGCTCCAAAACTTTGAGCTCCAACTAAATACCTGCACTTGTGGTTGGGAAGCAAAACTTCTCGACTCGTTCCCCTCCCGATCGAGTCATGTTCCATGCCTAATTTATTCGGACCTTTCTGAGAGTAGAGGTTGAGTCTACAGGTGAGCACCCATGACATGGGGTTTTCTGTGCAAAATTTCTGAAGTCTTCGAGACACTTGGGTCCGAGAAGTTGGTATAAGAAGTCGTCGTGGGACTTAAGACCTCGTATTCGACGTGTTTCATGGGAATGGAGTTGGCGGTGTATGAAATGGATAGGACTAGTTTTCTCCCCAAACACGCACTCATTGGGTGCATCTGCATTGTTGAAACGGCGATTATAGGCTGTAATAAGTTTGCGGAGTAGATGCCTTGATAGAGCCAGCTCTGGCGGCTTGCGCCGTTTCATGAGCAGATCCAACTTTCGATACCGAACAGGGCTAGCTTTATACCACCAATCGCTGAGCAAAGCCTGTAGCCGATTATTCATGAGACGGCGAAGGTATGCTAACAAAATAGTTCCTGATTGGTTGTCCGGACTGAGCAGCATTCGTAAGCCGAGGCGCGTAGTTGCGTCTGCTTCTTCGTGTCCTTATATTCCAGAGTGACCGGGGATCCACTTAATTGTCACAGCAGCTGACGCTGAGAGTATGCGAAACTAAAGTACCTCTTCGAGGCTGGTTGAAGAGTTGTCCTTCTCAAATGCTTTTACAGTATGATGATTATCTAGAAACATTTTCACTTGCCGTATCGTCACCCCCAGCTGCTGTTGCGCTTCTTTCATTCCCAGTACCGCCTCAAGAGCCTTTAGCACTCCTGCGACTTCAGCGTCCAAGACTTCTACTCCGTATCGGATGCCATACTCTTAGAAGAGTCTTGCTATATCTCTTCAGAATAAGGCCCCAAGCTGAACATCCTTTATCTTCCGACGATCAGTCTAAGTAGGCACAAATTCCCGATACGGGCACGTTGTCTATTTAACGTCTGCTTGCCTCTATCCCTTCTGACCTAGTCATTGACCTAGCAGGATAAAATGGCAGCGGCAAAGGCATCGAAGCATCTGCGTTCAGAAGTTGTCGATAATCTCGCTATGCATGAGCCCTTTGTCTATCTGCATGATCAAATCCTCGTGGGTACTTCTTAAGCTCCCGAGTCCCAACATTTGAACACAGCTAAGCACGAGATCTCAGCGGGTGCCGGTCATTCGGGGTTTTTATTCTGGCTGAAAATCGTCATCAGTTTCTGTCAGACACTGAGGGTCAAATGAAAAATATTAAGTAAATATTAATTGATAAAATCTCAACCCCTCATCTCCTCTCTAGCATTGACGCTGTGTACCCATCTGAAACTATTTTTTGGGAAAGATTATCTTCCTCTCGTTTCCCAAAATTACGTGTCAAATATATAACATGTGTTGAAGATCTGAAGATCTAAGGATCTCAAGTTGGAGCTTTGAACACCCTGAACATCCTGATCACCATGTCCCAGGTGAGATATCAGAGCTCGAGTAAGTTAATCCGAGAAGATGTGTCATCCCAATATCCAATGATTATCATCACCATATTCAGTAAGTTCCAAACTATCGGATGATTGACAGTTTCCCTCTACAATAATATCTGCAGGTGAATTTCCTCCTTCTTTGTGTTGGACCACAGTCAGAGTAGTCCACAGAACAAAAAGTGCAGATCGGAGACCCATCATGATGGCCTTTTCGATCATATTGTAGAGGATTGCGGTAGGCGGCGTGGCTTTTGCTGTTCTAGTCAAGGGTTTGAGGCCTGACCACCAGACTTCCGCTCCAAAAGTCGCGATTGAAACAATGCAACTGTTTGCCGCTCGTATCAGCGCCCCTGGTCTGGCCCCTCACAATGTGGAATCGAAGCGTTGTATAAGATGTGTGACTTTTATTGCTTTCCCGAACCAGATCATCACATGATGCTTGAAGTTAAATCGCAGATCGAGGTGGACTCATACCAGCGAAGATGTTCGTCTGGTTTTATTAGCGTGACTTTCACGTGGATGTCAACAGATGCCTCGCGATGTCGTGACTCCTGAGTATCGGACTTGGACCACTTGCTGTGCAAGGAGCGACGTCGTCCACTTTTGAACTGAGTCTTTCCATTCTTGTTCTTGCATCCTTCTCACTAGGCGGTTATGAAGAACTGCATCAAACGCACCTTGTACGTCTAAGGGGACGAGAGTGGCCGCCCATCCTTGTGTGCGCGCCTCCTCGACATCGTATACTACACAGGAGACTAGGTTTTTAGCTGAGCGTCTCGAGAGCGCGCTGAATTATTGATAACCAACCACATCACAAATTACCACCAGGTGCGCCATCTATTTTGCCAGAAGGCTTTCTAGTTCTTCACCAAGATATGAAAGAACGGCGATTGGTTTTCAACCTTTGACTGTCTTCGAGACAGTCAGAATACTCGAGTGGTGTGACAAGATCGATGTGTGAAAGTACTTCAATTAATCCTTAGAATATTAAGCTAAAGAGAGAAGAAAAGACCATGAAAGGCGGGGTATCTACCCCAAACTATATACAAAGAACGTGGGTGACATAATAAAATTGGCGGGGAACAGGGCTATGTGCCTCAGGCCGCCCTCATCAGTAGCATCGTGACGAATTGTCACAAGTGGAGTTTATATCACAAACTTTCTGTTTTTTTTTTATCATTTAATGTGTATTCAGCTATCTAGCTAAGACACATGACCGGTGCTATTTATATACGATGGATGACTCTTTTGATGTTCGAGACACTCATATCTGGATTTCATTTGCAAATACCTCTATGAGGTATGCTTGCTTACACAAACAGTCGACCCTCCTCCGTAAGTACCCACCAAAGGGAATTTCGAAACCTTTGGTTATCCAAGCATGCCTTCGTCATCCATGCATACCAGCATCGCGAGAAATGTGATTGTGTTTTGCCGGATTCGAACCAGCGATCTACTGTCTCAAGTGGGATATGTGTCCAAGCTATCCAGACTCTACTTGACAGACCGTCCAAGACAATTTACCACCGCACCATCCAACCATGGCGGTGTTTAGAGTGTCGCCTGCACTCTTCACAAGCTTTTTGTAGCAGTGATAACAATTGGTGGTTAACATGTATCTTGATTATTCCCTACCTAAAGGAAACACGTATATACAGCAGTTGCCCCTCTCTCCTGACGCCATTCCTAAACAGGTAATTCATTACTCATCAACATAATTAGTCATCATATCTAAGATGATACATGAAAGGTCATGAAGTCATTAGGCCATTAGACAGAGACCCTTTTAGGCTTCTTTACAAGAACCACTTTGGCCAATTTGAAACAGGTCGGGTACTGTCGGACCACTCCTACGGAGTTATTTAATCACAAGCTTCTTGCAACAATATGGATGGGTCTTAGATGATTCTTCTTCCTCTATACTATAGAAGAGACTATGTGCATATTCATCGATTTTTCCGTTACGCCATTCCTGATTAGGCAGCCTCATCGAGTTACCCTTAATCACTTGAATTACATACATAGACAGGTACGTAGTAAGTTTTATGCAAGCTCTGAAGAGTTTGAATATTCATGTTCCAACTGCCATCTAGCAGGCTACTCGAAGCTGTACGGTGGCCCCGTCTGCTCTCAGGGCCGTATTTTTTTTATTCATTAATGTGCTAGGTTAAGTTACAACCGTCGCACTCCTACTGGTGCTTAAGCACGGGTAGGGTCGGGCCGGATCAGGCTAACTACCGTGAAGTTTAGATACACCTCGTCCCACTTAAACGACCAGTGTGACGGCTGGTTCCTGTAGCCTATGTTGGCTAACATAGGCTTGATCCGACTTAGGGTGCGCACGATCGATTAATCTAATATCTGAGAGTTGGAATCTGCATAGCATTCGATTCAACAGTGCAGCTCAACATGGTACCACTTGTTGGTGAGAAGCTATCGGCTGTAAATGTACGAGATCGGTCACAACCTCATCAATTGATAGTGCACTGACGTTGTAGAACATGAGGCTATTTTATATATATACATGTGTAGATAGATCCTGTAGTAGTTCTCTCCTCAAAATTATTATCTACTACCATCAACCTTATAGTTGCTTCAGCACCTGTCCTAGGATCCGTGACAACCAGACCACCTCAGACATCACCTATGTGTTAAATCATACGAAGCATATCTGTCTAGAAACGCGCTGTTTACACGCCATAGCGTAATTTC